CTCTCTCTCTCCCACACACACACAAACACACACACATATACAACTGCACACACAGTTGGGCCACCAACTCCCGCTGGCTTCCCTCCGGTCGCTGACCACACAGACACACACACACACACACAAACACACTTCAACTGGCTGAAAAGCGAGACAATGGCCATGGACTTCTGCAACAGCCGTCCACCGTCCTCTTTTCCCGACGTTGCAACGTCGTCGTCTTCCTTCACATCAACGCCAGGGCTGCACCGCTAAGTTGACCGGCAGGACACGATGCTAATCACTTGGAGGGTCGGCGAGTATGACGCCCCGCACGTCCTTGCACATAACGACCGACAGAAATCACACTGGCGTCGTTGCAGAGCTCTGGCCGCGATGGTGTGGTCCGCACGGCAGGGACGCATTGCATCAGTCTTCAATTTGTGGAGGGCATGACTTTGTTAATTAGATAAGATTCAAAGGTCTGATTGCAATTTCTGATATGTTGCTTATATTTCAATTTAGCCCATGGGCTTAATCTGTAATTTATAAAAATATATAAAAAATAATATTTTTTCTATGTATATAAATTATGTATCTTCAACCAATAATAATATAAAAATATTACATAAAAATATAAAAATACTAAATATATAATTATAATGTAAAAAAATATTTCGATTATTTTTATAAATTCAGTTGGCTCGATCCGATTCTAGTTTGGATTTACACATGAAAAAAACACACACTGCAGACTACATAAATAGTGTTAAACGAGATACACATCAGTGACTATCGAACTGCACAATAGTATTTATTTTTATATTTTATCTTTTAGCTAGATTTATTTCAAGAAACAATAATATAAAATATTAAATAAAAAATTGTAAATACTAAATATAATTTTATTACAGAAATAATTTGATAAAAGCAAAATAATGTTAATTGAAATGCAAAATATTAAAGTTTTTATAATTGACATGCACATAAAAAATACACGATCAACAGACTGCACAATAATGTTAGACAAAATGCACATTATTGTTAGACAAAATGCACATTATTGTCTGCGGAGACGCAAATTATTGATTTTGATATTTTAATATTATGTCTTTTCAACATAAAATAATATAAAATATCAAATATAAATATTAAAATACTAAATATATTTTTATAGTATAAGTAATAAATTATTTCGACTATATAAGGTAATTCGGTTAACTCTTCGATTAAACCGATTAGTTCAGTTTACGTTAAGTTTAGATTTTGACAAATAATGAAAAAATAACTGCATTTTGTGTGCACATTAATGTTAGACAAAAGGCACATTAATTTTAGACATATTGCACATTATTGGCTAGCAGATTTTCACTATACCGATCGAACCCAACGAAACTAATTTTTTGGGTATTTTAGTTTGATTATCTATTTGTTACTTTTAAATTTTTAGTTAGTTCGGTTATTTGTCAACTTTATTTTTTAAAATAACAGAATTGACCAAACTATATAAAAAAGGTTATTTTTGTTCAATATTTTTTAAAAAACTTGCAAATAAGTCCCCAATGTTATATAATTTACAAAAGAAATCTCCCAGAATCAGTTTTGAGATTCTTCAAATACAGTTTGTTTCCTTAGCCTTTTTGGCCGTTGTCGAGGACCCCATTCTCTGGTGCTATCCCGCACCGCCGCCGGTGTCGCTGGAGACGTTGACGGATTCAGTTAATATAAATAATAAATATTTATATTTATATCTCTGTAATACTAAATTCTTTCGATTATTTAGTATAGTTCCGTTCACCGATCAAATAAATCGATTATGTCGATTCGGTTATAGTTTAATTTGGCACAAATCATTAAAAATGTCTGTTTTGCAATTGCACAGTAGTGTTACATAAATTGCACATTAATGACTATCAGATTACACTATAGCAACCGAAACCGGTCGAACTAAAATTTTCATTTCGAGATCTTACAATTCAGTTCATTATCTATTTTTACTTTTAAAATATCGGTTATTTCAGTTCGATATCAACTTCATTTTTTTAAATAATCGATCGAATATATAAATATATTATTATTATTATTATTATGTAAAATTATTACTATTTTTAGCCAAAAAAATATACAAACTATTAATTTTTAAACAAAAAAATTAAAATAATAATTATNTCGACCTGATAAATTCGCCGGAATTGACATATTTCACAACGAGTAGGACAAATCGCTTAACCACTACAAATTTTCCTTTTTGCCCCAAGTAACATATATAGCATGACAAACAACTAGCATATATATATAGCCTACACTTGTTTTAATAACTGAGATTCACATCGGCAAAACTGAAACTATAACAAACAAAGAGTAGACAACAATGTCCAATAGTCATCGTGATGCGACATCTAATGTCCACTGTATGCAAATACCGTCCAAAAATTTTGAGCCACTATTGTGAACCTCACAAATAATGCTATCAATTGACTGATCATACATTTTTTTTTTAAAACACCCATTAGGGCGAGGGGTTAGGCTAGACCCCCAACCTATATATATAATTGCCCTCAATAGGCAGAAAAGTCATAAATCTACAAGTTCACTATCTGAAATACAATAAGTCAAAGGAAAAGCAAAGCTAGAAATGAAAAAGAAAACAAGAAAAGGCTAGTAATAACTGTCAGTAACACAATGCTAGCGTCTCCTGGTCCGGAAGGAGTCCAGGCAGAAAAGTCAATGTCACATAGAGGCGGCTGCACCAGGGTATACGACTGGCTACACAAATCTGAATGAAGGGTATCCATCTGGTCCATCCGTATAAGGGTGCGGAGGCCAAGAGGAATATCGTCAGGGTAAAGTATACGCCTCTGGGGGTGGAGGACCCGATGCCTGCGAGGAAGTCAGCAGGACGGTTCCCCTCACGGAAGATATGCGAGATCTGAAAGCGAATCGACCGAAGTGTGGCTCTAATACGCATGAGCAGATGCTGGATCTGCCATGTGCCCTGATGGCCAGTGGTCAAGAGAGTAATGACAGCGACAGCGTCCAACTCTATCCAAATGTGAGATGAGATCGAGGCAGCAATCTGCAGACCGATCTGAAGCGCCTGAATCTCCGCATCGTAGCTCGAGGAGGCCCGGAAACGGGCATGGAAAGCGATAATGAGAGCACCACTATGGTCCCTAATCAGGCCCCCACCTCCGGCGGCTCTAGTAAGTCGGTCGAAGGATCCATCAGTGTTTAGCTTAACCCAAGGGAGCTCGGGTCTCAGCCAAACAATAGCTCTGGGGCGTGAGTGTTGGATAGGCGGCAGTGGAGGTGGTGCAAGGCGGTGAGGATGCATGCAACCTGTCCAGTCTGTCTGGGTGAGATATATGCCGGTCAACCTGCAAAACAATATGAGAGCACAAAAAAGAGTTATCCCTATGCTTCGCATTATTCCTTTCTATCCAGGTGGCCCAAAGGATCAGATAAGAAATAAGGAAGCCCACGTGTCTATCGTGTGTGGTGTGTCTGAAAAAACTCAGAAGCTCAAAGAAATTATCTCTGGAGGGTAGGGATATATGAGTGAAACTGGTCTAATGCTCCCACACTCTCCTCACAGTCCCGCTCTCAAGAAACAAATGGCTAAAAGTCTCGGTCTGAAAAACGCCAGTCTCAACAACAATAGCAACGTGAGGGGAAGGAGAAAACGGAGATGGTCGGGGTAAGTAGGTCGGTCCAGATGGCCCCGAAGAGAAGGTTAGGCCGGTCTCCCAGCCACACTTTCCCCCAAGCTGAGGTCGTAGAGAATGCACCCGAAGATGTAAGTCTCCACCTCATACCATCCAAACCGTCCTCCGAGATGGGTATCTGCTAGATCTGATCTATCTCATGGTCACTAAAACCTGCTCCGGTACCCAGAATCCTCTCTAACCTATCCCTATCCCAACCCCCATCCGTCCATAGGTCCTTCACCTACAGAAAGGGAAGGTGGGTGACCCGTCTAGTGCCCGAAAGGGGCCCTCACCAAACCACCACTCGTCCCAAAAAACTATTGTCCCCCTCGCCCAAGGTCCTAAAAATGTGCTTCTGAGCACGTCTACAAACCATGGTGAGCCGCCTCCACTGTCTACTATCGCGGGCAGTGGCCGTCACCCTACAAGGATGGGCAGCGCCTCCGGGGCAGTACTTCCGACGAAGATACTGGGCCCAAAGTGACTTACCCTCCCTAAAACGCCACCACATCTTATAAGAGAATGCAGTGACGACATCCGAGAGTTGCCTGATCCCGAGGCCTCACTCGGAAAAAGGACGGCAAACGAAATCCCACTTCACCCAGTGGGTCTGTCTCCCTCTCCATGATCCTCCCCATGTCCCCAAAAACAGCGAGCCAAGATCTGATCTAGCTCGTGAATAGTAGACTGGTGGGGGTCAAGGACCGTAAGGAGGTGGATCGGAAGGGTGCTGAGGGTGCTCTTGATTAGGGCAAGGCGACCCCCGAAGGATAAGTGTCTGTGGGACCAACCAGAGATCCGATCTATCATCCTCTGTTTGACATCAGTGAATAACTCATGCGAATGTCATCCGCGTAGGAAAGGTGTGAGATGGGGGACCCGTAGCCACGAGTAGTATAAGTCATCCTCGGGAAATCGCTAATGAAGCCATCAAGACAACGAGACAGATAGTCCGCCTCCAGAACAAAAAGAAAAGGAGATAAGGGATACCCTGTCGAAGACCACGGGTAGCAGGAAAGAAGTATTGTATAATTAAACAATTATACATTTTGAATAAATATAATGTGTTATTTGGTTAGCTAATCATTAAACAATTATACTCCTTATTAAATATTGTATAATTATTCTATAAATATACAATACATTTACTTGTATTGCGTTTTGAAATATGACCATGTGAATGTATGTTTATTTATTTGAATAGTATGTTGGCTAACTGCTAGGCATAATAAACAAAGACTTTTACTATTACATAAATATTGCATACGTATTACGGAAAAATGATTTTTTACAATGCGAGTATGTTGAAAAGAAAAGCATATGCCTTGGAATTAAAGGTTACAAAGAATTAGAACTGGCTGGAGAAAATATCACAAGCATATTCAACACCATTTACATGAAGCAAAAACACAAATAAGTAACTTCCAACTCATGACATTTGATATTACAATCCCCCACACTTGTATACCAAATATTACAATCGCCCTAAACTGAAAACCAATTGTAAATATATTTTAGAGTAGAACAAATTCCCAGTTCAAGACCTGATAGTTAATTAATGAAACAAACTGAAAATACCCCCAATAAGTAAAACCAGTCTCGAGATAATATATATACACGCATAAAGAGCTGAATTAACTATTCAACAAACACACAATCCTTTTGTTTTTCAGCTAACCTTCGAAAAATGAGGTTGATGACGGTGAAGTTGATCCAATATCGTCTCAGCTGAGCAAAATGAGATATCCTCAGCCTTTCCAGTAAAAAAAAAAAAATAACTGTTTGGACTTTGATCTCTTGCAACTGACATGACCAAACTTGATCCGAATAAATTAACCACTCCCATCCTTAATATGATTCCGATCGATGTTTCAAAGGTACTTATTACACCCGAGTCGAGAAGTAAAAATATAAATCGAGAAAAACGAAAGANAAGTAGATATGATGGAAAATGAAAAAATGAGAAGAAAGATTAAAGAAAAGAAAAGGAACTTAAGCCTAGATCAAAGAGGAAACCGAAGAAGAACCCATGGTTGAGTTTGAGGGGTCAAACCAAGCACCAAGATTCGTCGTGCCCCACAAAAGAGAAGAAGGATCCGACCCGTTCACCTGATCCATTGGATTCGGGTTCCCCAACCCAAACCCGTTTCCCCCTTCCACCTTCACATCTTTATTACCAGTAACTTCATTTTCACGATGACTCATCATTTGTATTCTCTCATAAGGCAACATTTGAGCTCCGAATCTCTGCTGCTGTATGGTGGAAGAAAGCAAGGACGCGACTGTTGGCGATCCGAAAAGCATCGAGCTGTTGCCAGCAGTCGAAGAGAAAGGCGGTGGTGGGCTGGAACCCAACGGCGGCCCATTAACAAGCCCAGATGAAAACCCTAGCCCAAACCCATTCGCCTGAGGCCGAAAATCAAATCCAGGATTCTCATCGCAAACCCTAGTCGATCCCAGGCCGGAGAAGGGAAAATTAAGCGGGTCGAGGAGGTTATTGCCCGTCCGGAGACCGTAGATCAAGGGATTATGGGTCGGTCGATCCGAAGGTGGGGACGGATTATTATTGTTTATACTATTTACCTTGTTAGGGTTTGAAGGCGTCGGTTGGGCGGCTGAGGGAGGTCCGTCCGGCGGCGGCCGCTTGAGGCGTTTGTTCCGGCGGCATCCGCCGCCGACGGGGACGTTCCGGAGGGTGCCGCCGCGGGTCCAGTAGCGCTTGCAGGCCTTGCAGAAGTGTCTGGGCTGGGAGAGGCTGTAGTTGTTGTAGTAGCAGAATTTGGTATTGGAGGAATTGCAGCGGGGGCACTGGAGAGGAGGGTGCTGGGTCTGGGTGTGGTGGTTGGGACCTGTTTGGATGATTTGTTTATCGGCCGCCATGGCTGGATTTGGTGCAGACGAGGATGATGATGAGGCCATGAATCAGGTGACGATGATCATTCGAGCGTCGTAATTTGTTAAACTAAATGGGGACAAATAGGAGAGACTGAAGGAAAAACATAAAAATTGAAGATGGGGAGAAATTAAGAGCAGGAAGTTGATATTCTGAGACAAGAGCTAGGAAACAAAAGATGGGTCATCTTTTGTTGAGTGTAATAATAATTGAGTTAGTGAGAGAGAGAGAGAGAGATGAAGGGGTGTGTTGTGTGGCCATTGCTTAGTGATGATGATGTTCTCAAAGNCACACGGATTTTAAGAGGAATTTTTTGGAGGCCAAGGGGAAGAGGACAAGGAGAGGGTGACGACGCGTGAGAATTTGGTTGACGAGGTTTGGAAAATGTTTTGTTTTCGAAAGTCGGGAGGAAAAAGAATGATTGGGAATTAATGGAATTGATTAATTCATTGTTTAATTGTGATTTCACGTGAAGGATATATTACTTTTATTATGTTTTTTGCCTGAATATTGTTCTCATATGTCATAATTCTCTAAAGATGCTTATTGTTTTTATTTATATTTTTGTTTTTCTTGTTTTTTTTTCTTTTTGGGAGGAGGTTTGAATTATAATTATGAAAACCGGACTGGACCGGTTGGTTCCACCCATTGAACCGGGAACCGGCCTTAATTTCGGTCCGATTTGAGCCATCTAACCGCTATGCAGGAGAATCGGTCAAGAACCGTTCGAACTGGCCCAAAACCGGTTTAATCGGTGAACCGAGACCGATTCGAATGGTGCACCGGTTCAAGCTTATGAATTTGAACTTTGTAGATTGTGAAGTGGTTTAAATAGCACACTTTTTTTACTTGTATTTACTTTTCTGATATTGTGTCAGATAAAATCTGAATTCAACATTTTCAATCCAGGGTTTCCATTTTAATTTATTTTTAATTAAATATTTACATTTATATTTTAATTCTCAATTTACGACTTTATTTTAAATAATTATGTAAACCATAATACTATTATTTTAAATTTATATTTTAAATGTTGTACTAAATAATTATTAATATCTTTAGTAAAATTACCTTACTAAGAAAATTAATATATTCAAGCTATATATATGCAAAAATTTATTAAAATTTACTTTAAAACTAAAAATACTGAAAACTAAATTTAAGAATTTAAAAATTAATATAATTTATAATATAAATAGGTAATAAAATTATAAAATAAACTACGTAAAAAAATTGTTGTAACTTTTTTCTAATTAATATTATTAAAAATATTGGTCGTAAAACTATTACTTTGAAAATATATATGAATAAATTTGTTATTATCAATAAGAGTATTATGAAAATACGTTTTCTAAATATTATTTTAATTTATTTTTATTTATAATATAAATACATAACAAACTAAAAAATAATTTATTTAAAGTTATTTTAAATTTTTTTAAGCTTGACTATTGATGATGCTTAGAACTATGAAATTTAGATAAAATGAAATATAAAAAGTCAATAGTGAAGCTTAGAAACAAAAATTCAAAATAGTTTATTTACTAATTGTGTTACATATTTAGATATCAATCAGTATAATATTTAAATTATATATTTTTAAATTCAATTGAAATTATTTAACTTTGAAAGCTAATTTTGCTAAAATTTTTGCATAAATTCATTTTATATGAATAAATTGTAATACTAAGCTAAATGTACTAGGATATTTAATTCATTTTATTAAATTTATTAATTTCATATATTCTCATTTTTTTTCAAAATAGAAATTTTATTCACGATAATATTTGAAATAATTTTATTTATAAAAATATTAAATCAACTTTCTTAAAGAGATTGTTTTTATTATTGTTATATATTTAGATTATCATTTATAATAATATTTAAATTATACATTCTTATAATTTTGTTTTTAATATTTTTGGATTTTAAAATAATTTTTTAAGCTTTTTCATCAACGTAAATTATAAGTAATTATTATCTTTTATAATGTTACTTTAGTAAAGATGTTTAATATTTTTAATTATAAATATTTAAAATTTAAATTTTAAAATAATAATATTTTAATTTATATAATTGTATCAAAATAAAAAATTAGTTAAGGTATTAAATTAATAACTATAATGTAAAAATAAAATATCAATTGCAAATAATTTAGAATTAAAATTCTAAATCCTATTATCACACAATAACCCAAAAAAATCAATGCGAATTTCCCAAACACATTCTATATATGCAATTTTTGGATACAAGACAGAAGGAATCCCCAGGGCTCAGAGATCAAGGCAGGAACAGCAAATCCCACTCATTCCATGTATTTAAATATGAACAAGTGTACGCCAATTTTATATTGTTTGCTGACATTATCAACAGATTTCTGTTATGAATTAAAATAGAGCTTGCAATTCAAAATAATTTTTTAATAATTAGAAAACCATTATTATTTCCTCGTAATATTTTGTTTTCATTTTTTAAATTTTTTGGATTCAGTTATTGATTAAAATTCTATTATACTTTTTTTTTATAAAATTCATTATTCCCCTACTCAATTATTTAGAACTACTACTTATTATTATTATTTTTCTATTACATCAAATTAATTATCAAACTTTATAACATATCAGTTTTATCGTATTAATTAACCAAAGTTTCTCTTTCAAATAGAACTAGTATTCGATCATGTACATTTGCACAGATGTAAATAAAATTAAATATTATAAGTTATTTGTATCATTGTATACATATATTAATATTAAAATTATAAGTTAAATAATAATTATATTTCAAACATATAGTATTATAAGTTATATTTATGTATATAATATTAAAATTATAAATTCGATAATATTATTATATTTTAAAATTTGATCATTGGTTAAAATAAATAGCACAAAATATTTTGAAATCTTAATTAAATTGTTGATATTATTTTTTTCTCAAAGTGGTGTACGTTAGGCCAGTGACCAGGTTGCCGTGAATTATCGCATCATATAGAGGAAATACGTCCTAGAGTAAAATCTCTGAACACCACTAAACTAACTGATATTGAAAAATTGCAATCAACAGTCCAACACAATAAATTTGTGAAGTGTCGTTTCCCAGTTTCTTTTATCGTGCATACGTACAAACATAAGTAATAGGACTGCTTTTTATGTATTGCTTTCACGTCTTTAAATGAAGGAGTGCTTGATATATCACCTGACAGAATTCTCAAAAGTGAGGGTTTTCAGTGAATCACTTTGCAGAAAAATTGTGGTCTGGACAAAATTATTTCTTGTTTTTCCACACTTGAGGCGCAGATACATGAATTAAAGTGCAATAATATTTGTACACAGGCATATCTTTTTTTTTTTTTTTATCGTTAAATGTAAATATATATTTCACAACTGTTTTGGACAATCGGTCTACGATATACAAAAACATAATAGGCAACCACAAGTTGGTTCTTCATTCACAAGGAAAAGTCAACCACAAGTCAATTGGTCACTCTAATGTTACGAGAAACAAAGTGCAAAAATTCATACGGATCCAAACGAGCCAAAATCATAGGTGTGGTATGAGGACTGAAGTCGCGACTCGCGACTCGCCTAACCGCGAGAATCTAGGCGCTAAGGAGCAAAATGTCGCGACTCGCGACCAGGTGTCGCGACTCGCGAAAATAACAGAGAAGAATGAGCAGTATCAGGTGTACAGTCGCAACTCGCGACCAAAGTCACGACTCGCGACTTAAACCGCGAGAATCTGAGCGATGAGAGCAGGAAATCGCGACTCGCGACTTGATTGTCGCGGCTTGCGAAAATAACAGAGCAATATGGCCAGCTTCAAGTATGAAGTCGCGAGTCGCGAAAAACTGGGTGCGGGCAGCGGTAATTGTGCACGAATCGTGTGTTCCCTTTCCAACCAACCAATCTCCAAGACCTTCCGACCACCACAAAACCTCAACAATCAAGTACCCAAAATGTCACTTAAAACCCAAGACACTTCCTCTCAAAAATTCAACAAGCACATTCGGATAGGTGGCAAATATAGTTCGATAAACATGTGTTTTTACCTTGCGAATTACAAGACTCGGGCTTTCATATTCATTCTCGAATACCAATCAATTCCTAGCATTCCAAAAGAAGTATACGGTAGCCGCAAGCGCGGCTTTCTTCAACTTGGTTTGTCATCAACTCCCTCTCGCCTCATTTTTGATCCATTTGAGGGCTCCTTTTAGTGTGGACGGTTTATGTCGGAGACTAATCCAAGTACGAATCTCCACCAAAATCTCCAAGCTAAAGGTACATTTGAAAAATAGGTGGCTCGAAGATTCATTCGCCTCTCCACAAAGAGGGCATATCGGATCTTCCTCGAGGAATTCGAGACGATCTTTTGTCCGGAGCCGATTTAACACCCCCAACCATAGGATGAAGGAGTGCTTAGGGGTATTACACGAACCCCAAACGACCCCATTCCACGGCACCATGGTTCTCCTTGGTCTTAGGAATTCGTAGCATTTGCTAGTCCCATCATGTCCTTCCCGAGATTTCCACCCTTTAAGAAGGGCTTCCGCACCCCGCTCATTCCCCGCCTGTTCCACCAATACTTGGCGGATCTCAAAGAAGCTTTTGAAGAGAGGTGAGTCCTTCGGTCTGATTTCTCAATCCTAAATGGTTCCCTTTCAAATAGATATTATGAATCCATTTGTGCCACAAGGTGTCCTTCTTAGCTTGCATGTTCCAAAGCGTCTGGGTGAGCAACGCTTGGTTCCACGCATTCAAGTCTCTAAGCCCCAAACCACCTTCCAACCGCTGCAGACATAAGCTATCCCAAGCCACTGGAGCACTCTTCGAACCCCAAAGGAACCTTCTACATAGTTGGGTAATTTTTGTTCGTACTATACCGGGCAAATGAAGATCCCCATCCAAAAAGACAGTATGCCTTGTATTACCGAGCGTAGGAGTTCCAATCTCCCGGCGTAGGAGAGAGTGTGCCCATTCCACCTTCTAAGCTGCCCTTCGATTTGTGCAATCATATCATCAAAGAG